ATCAGAACAGAATATTGTTACCATTAGTAAACTATCCAGAAAGAGATAGAGAGAGAGAGAGAGAGAAAGAGAGAGAAAAATTGTCTAAGAAAATACAATGGGATGCTTTCAGGTTCCTCTTTGAAGTAACACATTCGATCGGTAAAACAGTAAAAACAATCTGGATCGTAGCGCCACTTGTCGAACAAGCAAATCTTTAAGTTAATCCACTCTAACAATTTTTTTTTTTAGAAAGCTTTGCTAATTTTGAAAACATCTACGTCGCGTGAATTTTCCCTTTGTTCTAAATTATTAAAAACTGTCAAAAAGAAAAATAGAAAGTAAGACGTATGATAGTAAGTACAATTTGAAGACACACATACAATTATAAACTTACCAGACGCAGAATATATAATTTCTTTATTTATACATATACATGAAATTTTATGATTAACATACATAGCTAAATCTTATCGTCAAACATAATGCTTAAAGTTAATACTTATATAATAATGTTAAATGTAATTGTATGTGTGCGTAGATCATAACATGTGTACTCGGCTCTTATTTAACATGTGCGTATGTATACGTACGCAGTGGTTATATACATTCCGGGAATTGAGTGCAACAATTGTGGATTATCGGCGATACATAAATTTCAAGATTAAAATCGGTCATCGAAAAATCAAGTCAACAGAATCTTTCACATGAAAGCGTTTGATTAAAAAAAAAAAAAAGTTATCAACATTTGTGCGCGTTGGATAACCGATACTGGATAAGATAAGCTGTTCAATCATGATTCGCATCGACAACACGTAGTCAACAACAACATGAATATTGTATATGTACTATACTTAAAAAATTCAATAGCCTTATTTATCTGACAAATAATCGCGCGCAGATTATATCTTTCAATGAATATTGATTTTTAACGAGTAAAAAAATAACAATGCAAATAAAAAGCGCACTATCTTCATTTTCTGGTTTGCTTAACTAACGTTACTTCGTTCTGTTGCACAAAAAAAAACGATTCAGTCGTGATTGTCGCCAGCCATCTGCACCTGCCGTCTAATTGTTGCACCTACATCCCGATGCACTACAGCCTAATATTTACAGAAGCCTGTATAACTATTAGAGCTCTTCAAGGTTCTATGATAAAAAAAAAAAAAAGAAAAAAATTCACATATTTGTACTCGTCGCAAATGTGAGCGCGAGAATACATCACAATAATTAAATCTGGCTTTTAAACGTACGTTGCATTAGTGACCTTTTCTTAAATTACAAATACAAATTATAATTGCTCGCAAATCAAGCGCATCGTGTATTGTCTGTGTCTAATCTGACACAGATTTATTGTTAATGAAATTATATTACACGATATCTAAATATTTTTTTTTTTTTTTTTTTTTAAGTACGTGAAAGTGTCGTATGAGATATTGTTAGATATAAAAGATCGTGAATCTTTTAAATGTCGCGTTTTTGTTACTCAATTGAAACGCATTCACGAAAACAGATACATATATACACAGTTTGATGAGATATTTCAGCGCAATCAAGTGGAGACTAATCGTCGAAGAAAAACTGGCAAATATATCTTGCGTGTTCCGCATGTGCCGTTCAATAATTATTTATCAAAAAACTGTTAATCTAAATTAGGCAAGAAAAATAGCACGATTTATATTTTTGTTTTGTAAAAATGAAACTCTATTCCAAGATGTTATTAGCAAGTAATCATTGTCGAACAACGCCTCGCATGCTCCTTTCAACAAGTAACGATATTAAACATCGTGTAGTTCCTCTACTATGAGCAAATCAGAGTTTTTTCTTCCTTTCAACTAATTTCGCTTAATTCCTACGTTGTTCTTGATTTCTCTTGTTCGAAGCAACACGTCGCTGTCGGCATAAAATTTGATATGCCGCAATCACTCCTATTTCGAGCTTGGCTAGTATTCGACTCACTCGAAAATCGCATCACGTTTTTCTTCTCTATCGTATTTCTAATTACGACTGGACACCACATTCCTCTTCTCGCGTCGCACAATTACATTTAATACAAAAATTAGTCACGGTACGCGGTAACAAATACACGATTTTTTTTTCACGTTGATGCAAGTAAAGTCCGCGCGATCGGTAGTGCCTCGTTATATTATATACTTTCACTCGAGCGAGCCGTTGAATGACATAACGGTCTCTACGCATAGACCAGATGTAATTAACATACAATAAAACGTAAAGTGAATATTAACGTTAATAGTTAATAAGTTTTGTTATATATTTAACACGTAAATATACATATATAAATTCATAAGTTACAACAACGTTTGAGACCGATCTCTCCCTTTTCTGTAGTTTTTAAACAAACGAAGGAAGAATGACAACCAGTGTTAATAATAATTAGACGGACGCAAAACGTATCTATGATGAAAAATACAATATTCCAGGATTATCGAGCATTCGACAAGGTAAAACGCACGATGTTACAAACAGCGACGCGAAAAAATGACGATGAAGGTGATAATTGAACGTTGCGCAACGTGTCGTCGTAATATTTAGCGACGAGAGTCGCGGCTACGTACTTAGCTAACTTTTCCGCGAGAACTCTTAAGAAGAAGACGAGAGAAGTATCGAGGAAGGCGAAGGTGGGATCCTGAGATGCTTCTCTCTCCCTCTCCTCTCTCTCTCTCTCTCTTTCTCTCTGTCGCGTTGCCATTGTAACGCGACATTCCGATTACGCAACTGTCTTCGTATTCGACGGCCGGTTTATCGAATGCGCGCAACGAGCGCAAGTTATAAATTTCAGTCGCGAGTACCTGTGTCAAGACTGCGTGTTATCGTTCGCTTTCTGATAATTTTATTCACTCGCTCGCTCGAGGAAACGAAATGCTGCGCTCTGACCAATCTCATTCCGCTCAAAATAAGCACCTTGTGTCACATCGAGCATTGTTCGCAAATCTTTGTTGGCAACATTTCCGCGTCATTGTCAATTGGACGGTGTGTTGTATATTGTGTGATCCTTCGTACGATATATTACAGTAAAAACGAGAAATAGTTCTCTGGATTCTATGTGTGTAAATTATGTTACACGATCTCAAGGCCGATCAAATTACGCGTTGAGAAGTCGAGATCACAATCTCGACTCACATTTTTTATTCTCGACTTATATTAATTGACTCTCTACTTGTTGTCTAGAAGGTTTGCTAAGATCTCTCTCCCCGAGCGTATTATATTACACGGAAAAAAAAAAATGCACAAGAAATGCGTTTAATGATGCAAAAGGTTCTTCCAAGAATATTAACGCACGTTTCTCCCATAGGACATGTGGCAATCAGTGACCGTGGCGGTCGTTAACCGGAAGCTACAATAAAAAGAAATACCGAGATGAAGAACGATACAAAGAAACGCGCGACTGAGAAAACGAAACTAAATGCATAAAGTTTTTCGAAAACTCATCCTCATGTTTATAATTTCCCTTGCTAAACTCAATTCCCGTATCTTCTTTATTGAATATCTGTTTTAAAATATAACGTTACCAATAGTTTCAAAAAAACTATAACCAAATGTAAACACGTTAATATAAAAAAAATAAAAAAAGGTTTTCTAAATACGTTGACATAAGAAATCATTTCTGTGTAAGCAATTTCGAAATCTTTTTATTCAAGAAAATTGGATTATTATTAAGTCGCACTAAATCGTATTTGCACATTCGTCATTTTAACAATTTGATCTCTCAACTATTATAACAGGAATATTATTTTTACTAGATAGTGTCTTGCTTATCGATAAACGCAAAGAAGAATTGAATTACATATCTCGTTATCAGCGAAAATCCCGAGGAAATTGCAGAAATCGCGTAGAATCGTCCGAGATTCAATCGCTATTCAATTGGAACAGTGTGTACGCGGTAAAATTTAATATAAAAGAAGTTAGTTGTGCGCCGAATAACGCAATGTAAAATTGACAAAAACGCTCATTGCAACGTACAATGTACAAATATCTCGCGTCCTGAATTCGATAACGGAGATTAACCGAGACTCGTCCCCGGCGACTGACTCGACTATACTTTCTCCCACATCGTCAACGCGGGCTCGTCCTTGGACCAGACAACGCAGGCGGCTGGCTGACTTCATAAGCCCGTTGCACGCGAGAAACGTCCGTCCTTGCGAGTCCTTTGCACGAGAGCAGCACTCTACGAATTCCGAATGCAGTCGAGAAATTGACGTAGCGCGCGTTTCGCAACGAACGAGCGTCGATTCATGCGAGTATTCTCTGCGCTTCGCAACAGAATTATCGAAGAGATTCCATCCGCGTCGAATGTCCGAGATCACCGTGTTAATCTTTTATCAAAATCAATTGAGGCAAATGTAATTGTCATCGACATTAGCAAATTTAGAAATTATTTTCTAACTCCACGGCGAAAATTCAAATCGCTTTTGTTTTTCAATACAAATTGTTAGGCGCACACTTATTATAGTCTCGATTCGATATGATTGATTCGATATGAGAATATGATTTATCAACGTCGATTAAATTGATTTACTGCGATTTATTAAACGTCCTTTGTGACATTGGGATAAATATTCTCTCTTTCTCTCTCTTTCAAGTTGTTAAAAAAAAACCCCTATGTCACAAGAGAATATCTGTCAAAAATTATTTGCGACTGAGAATTCGGATTTATCTTCCGTCAACGAGGAATTCGCATGATCGACGTAACATTCAAGAGAGGATTACTACATCAAAAGACGACGATAAATTCTTGCTGGAGAAAGTCGTGGGAAGACACAGCAAACGGATCTCCCGAATTTAACAATCAGGATGTGCTTAGAAAGTACGATGACAGCACCGTGATTAATCGAGTTAAAATAATAATGAAATTTAATTACTCGCTAATTAGATATCGGGAAGTGTTGTAATTATTTACAACAGGAACATTTTTCTTAACTAAATTGTTGTTTTAACTTATTTTGAAACAAAACAAAAAATATCTTCAAGTCATTTTGTAACCATAAAATAGTTAAAAAAAAAAAAAAAAATAACAATTGCACAACTTTTGTCAAAAAAAAACTCTTTTTATAACTGTATAAACGTGTGTGTGCGTGTGAGATACACCGATGACCTGAAATCGGTCGTAACTAACTTTTAGTTACGGAAATAACAAAGATTTTTGCACATGTAAGTTCGCCTTTGTGCAAAAGTAACACAAAATTACTTACATAAAGTAACTCCGGGATTTGGGCCGCGTCATTTTATGCCGCATAGATCAGAAAAAAATACGAGGAATGACGATAATTTGCATGCGACCACTTTGTTACGTGACACTGTGATTTCAACTTTTTACATTGTGAATTAACGAAACAATCGTCAGTTCAGTTCGATTCATGATAAATAGCGTAATATACGTATGTGTGATTTATCGAATATAAAAAACTACAAACGTTACAACCCAATCAAAGATGATTCAAATAAGAAGATAATTTGATAAATTAGGTTTTCGACAGATATGCGGCTCATATAACGAAGTTATTCTATATACGGTATTACTTTCTCATTTTTTTATCTTCATATTCATCGCAGCGTTTCTTTGCTGCAAGTAAATGTATTAACATTAGATACATCGAAATCGCTCATAGCATTCGCGACAGTTTGAACAACCGAGCGTATTTGTTACAACAACAACAATTTGGTCGGTTAAAACGAGATGCATCGCGAGAAAAAGAGGAATTAAAGTAAAGAAATAACTTGTGACTGGAGAGAAGAAAATATGTTGTCGGAAGAAGAAGAAAAAAAAAGACGAGGAAGATCTACAGTTTCTGCACGATGTCAAATTTGTCCTTGAAACCGATCGACTCCTTCTTCGGATCGTACTTTTTGCGCTTCGCCAGCTGTTCCCTCAGCTCCTTCGCGCTCATTTTCAGGTTCAAGCCTTGAGATCGGGGCTCGCTGTTGTTGGTCGCACCGTCGCTTCCTACGCTGCCGTTACCAGTGCCGTGCACGTGATTCACGCCGGTATTGCCGTTTTCCCGCATGTCGGGCTCGTTGTTGCTTGTGGTTGTCTGTGACACGGTGCTGTGCGCCGTATCGTTGGAGCCGATAGATTTCTGCGTGCTCTGAAACCAGAAAAGAAAAAAAAACACACAATATTATCGTTGCAGAGAAAATTTCCAAATGTCAAGTTTGACGCACATAAAGATATATGTACGTGTTAAAGAATGAATAATAGCGGCTTCCATCCGTAGCTGATACCATCTAATTCAGCAATTTGTCTGGCAATATCCGGCAGAAATGGGTACGTTTTAAATCACGAAAGCAGAGAAACGGAACGAGACGCGATATTTTTTCAGTATACTGAATGATACAGCGTTTTTTGGCGTGTTCCGCGTTAGTGTTCGCGCGCGCTTAGATAACACGCGGAGGGTATTCGACAAAAAATTTTAAAAATGCACGCCGCGTAACATGCAGTCGGATTCACAAAAGCGTTTCCTTTAATAAAAACACGAGTTTCCGCTCGAGTATTTCCGCGAGATCGTATCGCCGAGCGCGCTCCTTCCCATCGTTCGATTACCGTATCGCGGCACCTGGCGATTTCGCGCGGATAAAGATCGCGAAGAAGAGATGCTTTATAATGACCTTGGTATATTTCCTTGATGCAATTCTGAACGGTACTTAAAAGAGTTTCCATTACTCGGCGTCGGCGTCATGCGCGAGACGGTGGTGAGAGTGTAACCGGTTCCTCGGAGCCGCGCGAACCGTTTAAATCCCTTCGAAATAGTGTTAGTCGGCTATCTCTCCCACAGCTGCTTCTCGTCAGTCCTACATACTGAATTTTGCGAACAGCTTTCTTTCTGTTTCGAATTATATCGCTCGTGTAGTTATTTATTTCTTCTCTCGCCGAAAGGAGAACAAATACGTTCGATAAACTCGACTTCTTTGCGCTTGGTACGTCTACGACAACTGGCTTGATAATCCAATACCTAATTAATATTGATCGGATTAAAAGTGATGCTGATAATAATACGATGTGTTGTACGATCCTAGAAAATGCTAACAAATTGAAGATTTTCGCGCAAAAACGTTTTCTTTCGTCAGATTACGTAAATAATCTGTAATGAACTTTAACGTTACTTGTATATGCGCATAGAAAACTCACTTCGCGATATCTTCGATAGTATCTCGACGAAACTTTCGCGTATATTACACATGTACGTTTTTACTCTGCTGATGCAACGACCCTGTAAAACTGTAAGAATCCGTGTCATGAGACGTTGACAACGACCATGAAAGCTTCTCACGACCGAGATTTGTTGTTGCGAACTCGTATCCGTAATTTTGTCACAGATCGAGTTTCAACTATACGCTTGAGTAAAACATTAATTTTCGCAATTTTTTTTTATCTCTCAATGTACTTTGCACTATCAACAATGTTTTGGAGTAACAAATTAAAAATTTTTGCAACAAACATTTTTACAAGAGATTTTTATTTTTAATAGAAAAGCTCAGATCGAGCGGGTTTTATCTTTGCTCCAACGCGCGCGTCTCTATCACAGACTCTTATAATTAAACACGAACTTATCGACGCGCGGGTCACGCAGGTGAGTATTTAATTGCACTTATGCGAGGGAACATGGTGCAATGCTCGTTTCTTTCCTGGAGGGGAATCCCCGTTATCTGCATATGTATTCAGGCGAAACGTGTGCGGGTTTTTGGCACGCTTTCCTCTAAAATCGTTCTAGAACGAGACACGGAAATCGAATAAGATCGTGTAACGGAATATCAAGATATATCTTTTTCGTTCTATTCCGTATTAAATTTCGTTAATCCACGTAATAAAATTAATTTGTGATCATCTTCAAAAAAAAAAAAAGATATATATCTTAAGAAAACATCACTTTTTTAATGGAGAATCGGCGATACCATACTTTCAAAATGCTCGTCAGACATTAATACGCGAGGAATAAATAAGAAGTTACATAAACCAAAACTTGAGAGTCAATTAGATTGGATCGTTGGATTCTTCTTACATGTGTGTTAGTTACGTTACGCAAAGAAGACAGGAAACATCCTATTTCATACGGGATAGGAAATGCAGGAGGACGACTATTAATTGTATCGGGAGTACACAATGTCACAATTGTACGCCGACTTCCTTCAAATCTTCCATTACACAATCGAAGTGCGCGTTATTTGCAAAAGCCATTCTAACAAAACAGCGCTTGATTTGTGAAATAAAGCTATCAAAAATGTGTTTACTTATGAATGTTTCTTCGTAATAAAAACATTGCTCTTACTTTATACAATTATCTAAATAGGTCAACTATGTGAAAGAATTCACATATTTCTGAAAGAATTTCTTTGGTCACGCACATAATTATCGCCCACGGTAAGGGGAGGATCGCTCGATCTGCCTCCCACGCACTTCATTATCATAACTAGTATGTTAACTTCATGAAAGAATGAAACGCTCGTTTTTATCCGTCTACATATTCATAACTTGATCCAAATAGAGAATAATTACATCATGTCTTTACCGCGACAAAGTCTGATCTTGTGTAACTATGTAAATTTCTTTCTTTGAAGAAATTATACTGTTTTCATTAAAAAAAAAAATTACAAAAGTTTTCTTTCCTCAAGAATTTTCTTTCCTAAAAATTTGTGAAATCATTTAACCACTTCATAAAACTGATCAACTTATCTTTATATTAATTCTTTTACTTTAATGCTTTTAGTTACTTTAAAAAAAAAAAAAAAACATTGATTTTATTACATTACAAAACACTTTTTAACAATATAAGTAATTCAGATTTCAAAATCGATTGCGATGCACGCGAAAATTGATTGACATAAATGCGGAACTTGCATATACATAATCACGTGAAAATAACCGATAATGAATATTCAGTTTGAAGAACAAAATTTTTGTTCTAGAGAAGAAGAGCGCGCATACTTAAACTCTCCGATACCGATCGTGAAAAAAAAAAAAAAAATACTGAAATCGCGGAGTTTGTGGAAATTAATTATTCAGCGTCCTCCAAAAAAGACGACTTCCTGCGATTATCGGCGTAATGACTCGCATCCGAGAACGCGAGAACCACCACATATTGTTGCAAAAACGACGCGCAGGTGTATTCACACCGATAACCGCCTAAGCAAACAACAGACAGATGTTCCTAAACGTGTAATTCCTAGAATATGATACTGCGCAAGCGTTGAAGTTTATTGAAAAATCGAACGTCGAGAAAAATATCAATATAAGATCAAGACTCTACAAAAAAATTTATAAATTGAAAGAAATATTTTCTAGCAATTAAATATAACATACAATTACGTTTCGCACAGAATTTATAAAAATGATTATTTATGTCACATATAAGGACATTTATTTTGCAAAATTGTCGTAACTAGTAAGCTATTGTAAATTTTCTTACCGAGTTCCTCGCGAGTCAGAATGACTCATATCCCACCACGTGGTACGATAAGACACGTATAACTACTGCGAATTCGTTCCGTTCGAGCGATCCTTTTCCTCTTTGAATACAGCTCTGACTCCTATTATTGTATTGCTTATCAAAATGGGCATTTTCGCGCGCGCGTGCGCACACTCGCAAATCCGGAGCAATCATTGAAGTACGTATTATCTTATTTGAAGATACGAGTTTTTCATGTTTTGTAAACACGATTTGTGGAACATTCAATATTTTTAATCCATTGATTGGTTACGCAAAAACTGAATAATAAAAAAGATACAAACAATGTAACACTCTAACAAATTATAATATTTAAAATTATTTGTTCTATTGTGTCAAAATTATTTGAGATTACGAAGAGTAACAAAACGAAGAGATTTCTTACGGCATTGAATAAGATTGAGGTCGATACTTGGGTAAAGCTTCGTATTATTGTTTCAAATTGTCGGATTGTTCCACAATCTTGGCTGGAGTTGAGCGCAATGGTGACGAACAAATACAAGAGAAAGCATCGTGTAAGCATTGCCGAGACGAGATTGTAACAATCGTGGAAGTTGCGATAACGATATCAACGAGAACTGGGAAATACTGTCCGAAGAGATTTCTCTTATACAGAGAAGAAAACTTAGTAAACTTTAAACATCTTTTGCGCACGTTAATATAAAGGATTTTTTACAAGTAGTTAATTATTTTGCTTGATTAGAAAAAATATTGTAAAAAGTGTAATAAATTATTTATTTCATCTTTATATTAAATATATTTTTTTTATAAGCATGCGAAATTCAAGAGACGTACAGGATCTGTGAATTAAAAATATTAGAATATAATTCGAAAAACTCGAAACGCTCGATAACATCTTAAAACTGAATCAACAGTCACGGCATATTATTTTTCTTTTCACTACAAACTCGACAATTCACTCGTGCCGAGGCGAAATCCCCGGCTAATGTTCAAGGGTTAAACGAAGCGAATAAACTGCCGTTTGCGCGAACGTTAACCTCTACATACATAAATGAATTATTGTCTAGACAACACGCATACCTATGTATGCAAGCGGAATATTAATAATGCCGTAACTTTCGCTTCTATCTGCAAATTTAATATCTTCGTCGTAAATTTTAGAATAATTCTTCACATGCTGATTTCAGTTTTTTCGAAATTCGCAGTACAAATATGACAACAATTTAAGTTTGTTTACATTTTTTAATTGTTTGGAATGCGTCAAAACTGATGTGGAACAAATTCGTAGTCAAAATATTTTACACTTGTTCTACTCGACAATAACAACTTTGTGGCAATAAAATTGGTTATAATTCAACTATCTAATTTTTATAATATTCATAAACTCTCATATACACACTCTGAAAAGTTTTTACTCAAACTATTTGTTAACTTCAGAAATAATTCGTTTAGGAAATAATGAAAGTAGGTAGCGTTTTTAGCGTGTTTGAATTGTCGCTTTGCTATCCACGCGCGATCGGAAGCAGGAAATATTAAATGACAATTTTATTATCACGCACAGGTCGAGAATCAGCTGTTGCCACGTGGAATCAGCGAAGCTTCCGCTTATTCAGCATGATTCAATCATGTTTCATTCATCCCCGTGAAGTAGTTGCTCTCTCACGAATACATTTACAATGAATTTAAGAGAAACACGACGCTCTAATTTTGTAATATTTTTCGCAGTGTTGTAAAACATGATATAAAAGAAATTACTGTAAATAATATTTAAAAAATATAGTTTTAGATATTCATATGTAAAATATAATCTTTTCCAATAAAAAATAAAGAATATAAATATGCAGAAGCTTTATAAATTATTTATATTTCTTTTAAGCGTAAAAATTATACGTTCGCGATATGCGCGAGAACGCACATGTGACATATCATCTGTCAATTAAAATCGATCTGATAAGTCGACTATGTGCGTCTCGACTAAATACGTTTCCCGGTTGATCCACATTTTTTTTGCAGTACAACATAATATTAATTTACGATCGGTTAAATTAATTGCTGTTTAGAAACACTTCAGACATCTATTAACAATTCACTCACGCGCGTATTGTGAATAATGGCCAACGATATGACCAACGGCTCGTAACGAGAACAACGAATGTAATTCATTGGCCTAGAAATAAAAGAAAGGATATATATACATTTTGTCCTTCATTGATTCGTCCTTGTAAGTCAACACAAGACGAGATATCGATTATTCTTTTTAATAAATGTTTTGTGAGTAAATAAAGAAAAAACAAGACCTCTAAAACGCAACTGCATCGCTATTTTGCTTTCGAAATGAGAAAAACAATCTTGACAAAAAAAATTGTTATATTCTTTGCAAGAAAAAAATATGTTAACAGCGTTTTAACATTTTAAAGTATGTCACTTTTAATACGTGTCACGGATGAATTTGCTCCGCGTAATATATAATCAGACTTAATGTGTTTCTGTGTGATCCGAGCAAATACAGATGTTTCTGAAAAAACGTAACCAGCTCAGTTTAGACGAGATGTTTATTCGAGACGTTCACGTAAGCGCGATGAATGCGTGTTTTAACAAATGCGCCAATATCATCACCGATAACGATAGAGAAAACAACTCGAAGTACAAAGACCAAGAGAGAGGTTATTTATTGATAATTTATATCAATTAACCTTTTTGTTGTGTCCCTAGATAAAGCAGCGTCTCAGTAGTAACTATGAATCACGAGACAAAAAAATTGTACACATCGAACACTTACGTTACTTAAGAGAACAATACAGAGATTTCTCTCCTTTTTAATCTTACAAGGAAAATCCGTAAAAAAGTTTTATTATCGAATTACAATTGATGAAAGAAATCTATGAAGATTTGAAATTTATTTAAATTCCAGTGTGCATTTCTCGGAGAAACATATGAATAAATAACCCAAAATTCTTCTTCCGCTCGAGATCGTCTTTCGCAAAGAGTCTGACTCACTTAAATTACCATAATTTTTTATCTTTTGATCAAGGTTGCATCTGTCCACGTAACTGATAATAATTAAAGAGACGTGACGTGTCGTGCGAAATCTACGCGCGAGATAATCACGCGGTATCACAACAAAAGAAAAATACACGACGTTTTCTCATTTTATTAGTCAACTGAGAACGCGCGTGCGTCCAAGAAACGCGTCATCGCTAAAAGAAAATATAACGATGATCACTTATTAATGATCGATGATAAGTATCGATGTTTCTATTATACATTATAATTTACATTATATATATAAATATTTATGTATTTATATTCGTATTATACGTCATTTTTTAATTTAATAGCACTTTTAGAAAAATAATCTAAAAATAATAAATATCTTTTATCTGTAATTAATTTTCAGACCGCCAACTTACAGAATTCGAGAACGTATGGTTTTTGTGCACACTCAATGTTGAATTTCTATTCCAGCCACTTTTACTGCAGTGCATCGATCATTGAAATAGCTAAAAGAACACGGCAACAGCAAGACTGTTACGCGGAGAAATAACTAATTGCGAGACGATGACGCATGTGCAATGTGTGTGCAGTCGCGCGCACCTGCCGGGATATTTTTGTAAATATAAAAGCCGAATGTTACACGTTGCGAAAGATAAAAAAATATTATACTGATGTAATATACGTTTATAGGAAATGACTACGCTCGATATATACTCAATAAAATGCGTACAATAAGCACATCGTAACTTAAAAAAAATATTATCGTAACAACGGTTGTTGCTCAGAATTTTATTTTGAGATTATCAGCCACGAGATTATCGCCGATACTCGTTGATACACACACACGTTGCGAACACGCCAGACTTTCTCGACCTAGACGTAAACACGGCCGGGCGACAACGAATCAACAGGTGGCGGACTCGGATAAATTCCACGGTAATGCCATGGATTCTTTCCGTGATACGGAACGCGTCGTCGAACTTTCATAATAAAAGAAAACGCAATTAACTGTATGCGCGTGCGTTTACATTATCACGCGGTATAACTACTTTCCCATACACACACATATATATATATATATATGATCTACCTGAAAAAACAATGTTTATCACAATATACAAGTGTATGGAAGAAAACGCAGATAAAAGTGTTTCCACAGAAGAATGTGTGCTGTATCTTGCTCTACAATTATGTATTGAGTCAAAGTATAAAACTTGACAAATATATATGTACAGTTTCATATTTAATGATCTCATATTATTTTTATCATTTGTAAAAAATAATGATTTTAGCGTGTTTTAAATCCATTGTAATCTCTTGACAAAATAAATTTCTGAGACGTGTTATCTAGACTTCCTGTGCGCGCGATGCAATTTGCTTCACCTTATCTCCACACTTTTGCAAACTTAACATACTTATTCAAATAGTGATACTAAATCACGTCGTTTAATGACACTATCTGGCTCGCTCGTAGGACGCAAAGTTTGTAATTTTACTAGCGCACACTGCGCATTTATTCTATAAAAAAAATATTAGTAATGTATACTTATCATCTCATTAAAAAAATATAAAAACTATGGAACTGGCTTAAATTATCACAAAAACGCAAGCGTGTTTCTTTGAACACGCTTATTTGAAATATGTGGTCGTTTCACTTGCAAAAATGAATCAGCTTAAAAGAAAAATTCGAACAAAATGCCTTACGCTTGATTCGTCGACTGGACTTTTACGTAATAAAAATACTTGATGTCGATATACATATCTAAGTATATTTATATCGAGGACTAAAAAAAAACGAGAAAAAAAGAAGTATTCTTACCTCGTCGACGGAGCAATTGCTGCCGTCGGAACGGTCCTCCACGCTGTTGGGATTCTTCTCCGGCGTCTTGATCACCTTGATGTTGGGCATGGTGCCCTTGATGATGATATTATTCTCCCTAAAATAGTCGTCAGCCTCCTGATCGACCACCAGCAGCTTAGTCTCGTTGGGGAACGCCTTGATGCGCTCGACCACCTGGTTGTGAGTCTCGTTCGCAATGTCGATCTCGTTCACCTCGATTATGCGATCACCCTGTCGTAGACCGGCTGCTTGACTCGGCGAGCCATCGTCCACCTTGCCGATAAACTGACCGTTCTTGCCTTTCTGCGCGTGCAGATTAAAGCCGTAGCCGGGGAAGTCGTCCCACTTGACGATGTGGCACAGCCGGGCGCACGGCGCTTTATTGTCCTTCAGAGAGGACATCGTGTCGCGTCGGTTTCACTCTCAAGAACGAGGAAAAAAAAGAGATGCGCGAAAACCTGTGCTCGCACCAGACACACCGCACCGACGTGGAACGCGCGAAACACCAAGAGTCACGCGCACCGCGGACAATCGCGCAAACACGAAAAGGCGCAACCAACGAAGAAACACACCACGCAAAACGAACGCACGCGCACGTATGTGTACGCAAGACCGTACGCGACAAACGGCCGCGCGCTTCAGACGCCGAAGAGTCCCGAAGCGTCACGAACGCGTTGCAACCGCGCCGTCGAGCCGAACCGATTCTGCGCAATGGCGAGCGCTGATGGATGCCGTAAATTTTTAATTCGTTCCGGTTCTAATCGAGATTCTTCCTATCTTCTTTTTCTATCGATACTTATGTCACAATAAAAGTGTTCGTCTTTTGTTTTTGACTATTTTGTTCTTTTTTTTGTTTTTTTCTTTTTTATTGCATATCGTACTCGAGATTTTCTCGACGCTGATTATTTCTACTTTAGCTGTTGCTTAACAAGTCATATATGCGTACGACACATCGCGCATGACTCGAGTACATTATCGCGATCGCGGTAAATGAGACAGAAACAATGTTTTATGCATTTCGAGATACCTGAAGAATCCATGCGAAACACTGTCTCGAAGATCGATTCACCGAACTGTGACGTGTGGAGAGAGTAAGAAAGAAACTGCCAAACGCGACGCGAAGGTGAACGTAAACTTTCACGGAGGCGGCACCTGGTGGCAGGTGTACCAAATCTGTGAACGTTACGCGACTCAGGTCGAAAATGTCAGAAACTAACAAAACCACAGCACACAACTAGCATAAAGCATTTATAAATAATTGCTGCGTTTTTGCCCACATTTTTTTAACTAAATGTTAGTTTTGAATTTTTTGAATTTTAAATACAAAATGTACTTTGACTTGTGTTAAATGTACTTTAAAAATATTACATAATATGTCAAAGAAATCAGAGAGTATAATTTGAACAATATTGTGAAATGCAAGTAAATGTGCAATAACGAATTTATATCGCGGCTCACCACTTCCTTTGTTCTTCGAATATGTGCTGTTTGCGAACAATTGCAAAAAAAAAAAAAAACGATCGTAATAAGACGTAATAAAAGAGCTTAGCACAGCTTTGCAATCTTAATTACTCTTCGTAAATTCAACAGACAAGCCTAGATTTTATTGCTTACAAACATCTGCAAAGTGTGCAAGTGAGAAAGTTGCATTGATCGCATGAGTCTTCGCTTTTTAAAACGCAACGCGAGTCTTCTCGCGTTGCGTTTTAAAAAGCTTTATATACGTGCACACGCGTGTTTTACCGATTACGAGTCACAAGCTGTTGTGCTTGTTCGTTGCAGAAGACTCGCTAATCGCATATGCATACCTCCGACATTTTCTCTCGTAGATATACGCTTCAGAGATCGTAGGCGATATGTGTTTAATTAAGTATTACAAATTATAGCACCGAGCCGCTATAGCGCGAAACGCGCATTTTTTTCATAAAGAACCGTATACATTTTCGTAGAATAATAAAAAAATAAGATAAAACCACAAATGCAAAATATATCTCATCAATAAAATTATTCAAACAAGAAAGTACAGATTCTGTGATAAAATAATAAATTCCCAAATTTCGGAAAATAAAATTATTTTATTCAATATTGTTCTTTCATTATTCGCACGGTTGAAAGTTGAATTAATCGACTACAAGAAAGAGAGAAAGAAAGAAAGAGAGAATCCCGAGAATGTATACAATGTATTTCTCATAATTATACGAACCGAATGAGAAACGAACGGAAAATTTTTCCATACACGAGACTACTCTGAGCAACACTCACGTCAACTTAAGTATACAATATAAGTATATTTTAATGTTTTCTGTGTATGTGTGTCATTAATGTATTTTTAATTGTTATGTTTTTGTCGTTTTTTTTTTTTTCATAATCCACGACCTTGTGTGCATTGAAAACGTTTATATTATGTTCAAGCGCGAATGCTAGAAAATTCCATTCAAAGAGAGATACAATCAAAAATAGAATCTATACAAACAGGTGTGTTTAAAAATCACAAAATTCAAAAATCAAGGTCAACGTTTTTAAATCGTACGCGTTTTCGAAAATATATGAGACTAACGAGTATAAAACAAAGATGTATATTCTACTGCCTACGCTCTTATTTCGCATGTACAAACACCAAACGAAGATCCGAGCCGCGACGACATCCTCTTCGCGCTCCGCACCTGGCGCGCCACATCGGACGCACCTAGCGGTTGTTCGCCGACACGAACTATACCTAGCTAGTCGCGAAGCGGCGTGCCGCGGTGAATGTCGAGTGTTGGCTGGCATTCCGTGAGATTCCGTCGTGCGGGAGTCGGACGGTTGCGGGCAAGCGAGACGGTTGACAGTGATGGCATATGACTGCGTCATGTGAAGATCGTCGTGAGATTTTGTCGTGTTTGTCATCGTCACGTCGGAATCGATACGTAAGTCGTTCGCGATAACAACGCGGCGGTTTCGGCCTTTTTTTCCATTTCGCGCGAAGTAAACATTAACAAGCTACGAACGCAAATAGAGAGAGCTTGAGGCCAACTTTTCAAGATGTGGAGCCCAACGCATGTTCAAGTGACAGGTAGGTAAGCAAAATCGCGGGCACGCGCGAAAGAGCTTGAAAATGACGCCCCCCTTTTCTTCGACAGAGATACACGTTCGGAATGCACGGATCCGATATATGTACCGTAACTCGATTATCTCGCACGTGAGAGATTACGTGTCCCGCTCGAAAATCAGGCGAGCGAAACCTTCCAGGTTTGCTGCAATGTTGCATCCGTTTGTCTTCTGATTAACGCGCTGTTGAGACATAATATCGTATTGCAATTCGATACAAACTATTCGCGAATATGTTACTTTGGTATTTTACGGACTCTCTCGGTAATTCTTCAAAAAAATGATTGCGTTGGAAGCGAAATTCTAAGAAAAACCAATACACAAAATATGTATGAAAAACTCACGTCAACCCCATGTTTTCTTTGAGGTTAGAATCGTGTCAATAACACAAGCGACAACTCAACGATTAATTGCAATTCGAGTTAGATGTGTGAAGCTATTTCTTCGACGGATATATCATTCTCGTTATCTTGAGACAAAGAGAAAATACACGTAAGCGGTGGTAATGTGGTTTCTACGTAAAGCGATACGGCACTGGGCGCGTTGCTTTGATATGTCATCGTGTCGTCGCTGCACTACAACGTATATTTAAGTCGAAATTGTTCTCCGCACCGCTCGAAAGTGGTTTTCGCTTTTCAGTGCCTACGTGAAAACCACTACTTCATCCGCAAGTTATTCTGCAGAGTCCCGTAATTTCTAATAAGTCTCAGACAGAGTATAATCGTTTTTAAATAATTACAAAAGAGTATAAAAATCACTTGTATTATATTAAAGTGTTTTTATATTATGTTGTTTTGTTTTCTTCCATTGCTTTATTTTCTCTTCTTGCGCCGTTTTCTACGATTTAGTAAAATTATCGCAAAAATACACTGACGTAATTGCGTCACGATTTCCATTCGATTCAAAAACAGTTTGTTTACTGAGCCACACGAGCACAGTGATACCTAATGCCTAATGACTCACCAAATTGTTATTCAAAACAAATTGTTTACCGATTACATCTGTCGCTGCGATAAATATGTACGTATGTATGTGTACATACATACATATGTGTACATATGTATTATATATATATATATATCTTTTCATATCAAAATCCTCTTTTGCTCTTTGAGTTTTGCTCTTTTTTTCTTTGTATTCGCGTTTAGCGACAAGAAAATGTTTAATTTTAATGACTCATTATATATAGTCATTTAAACTCTCGCTTCAACGTGCAGTTTACCGAGACATTATAATTAAATTCCACCGTTCGCCGCAAATCGATCGTAAGATAAGAGTCTTGTTACCAAGAGCCGCACGGCTTTTAATTTGCGAAAGCGCGCGTTAGAACACTTGTCTTCTTGTGTATATAATTAACGCGCGCTCACGAAACTTTTACCTTCGAGCATTAGCGAGTGTCAAATCGAGAGTATCGCGCTAGGCCGAGTTACCATGTAAGTAAGTAACTCGATACTCGTCTCACTCCGAGAAAAGCATCAGACATCTGTGCTCGAAAGTTGAGAGCGCGTCGCGACCATTAAGTTCATCGCGAGTGCGAATTCAGAAAACATGTCCCGATGTGACAGATTTTCTCCCGAGCCGATCTGTAGAAAATTTCGAAGCAAAAACCTAAAGAAAATAATCACGTTATTGTACGATATTAGTGTGTATATTTTCGATGCGACTTTTTATTTTACAACAAAGACATTTCTCGAATCCGTCGATTCTAATAGAGACAGAGTCAGATCCTCGTGTAACACGGATTTGTTTAACACGGATTCTTTTATAAATACGTATGTTAAATGCATACATAATTCTTCCTTGTTTGTATAAACCTATGTGATTCACACAACACGGAACGTATTTTCCCGTGTTTTACGAGAATTTACTCGTATGCGCGATTGTGGAAGAGAATGCGAGATACATAAGTCAGCTGTTTGATGCGCGAGAAATCGGAGGAATATACATACATCCATTGCGGTTCATCGTCGATGCGCGTGTGGGAACGAGGAAGTGACTCCTACAGTTATTCGGTAATGCTTCGGTGTTAAGGATTAACAGTTATATAGTAATGGTTGCGTGGTACAGGTGAGAAAGACAGAGAGGGAGAGACACGAATTACGTTCTTTTTTTTCTTATATTTCAGAATTTTGATTTCGTAATTAAATGCGTGCGTATTCGCGGATTTTTAGGAATGCGGCACAAAGTGCGTTAAAACGGTCTTTATATTTTGTGGCACACAATGAAATTGTCGTGCCTGGGAAATGATGTAACTACGCCAACTTGATTGTGTCGCATTTCGGTCAAGGTTTTCGCGCAAAGGCTTAAAATGCGACTTACGTGAAGTTATAATGTTGTACATAGATAAAAAAATTAAGAAAAAAAAAAAGAACACGGAGAGTAATAATGGCTGCGTTCAGCGGACCAAGTTGCTTTGTCGCAATCGTGAACGTGAGATTGGCTCTTACTTTTAAAATCAACAAATCAACGTTGACGACAACACAGCAATTGTTTTACTGAAAGCGGCCAGTGAAAAATCTCTCGGAATATCGCAAACGGAGAATAATGAGGGGCGGTAACTGATACATGTTTGGCATAACTTTTACTCTGATATATATATATAAGCGAGAGCGATTACGCGCGAAACCCGTGACATGAGATTTTCTCGTGAACACACGCGAATCGAGGAAAGTCGATTGTAAAGAAAAAAAAAGCACGCGAGAGCTGAAATCTTGATTTTCACGACGACTGACTTGTCACTTTTTTTCTTGTTTACAGTTCAAAGAGCCAGAAACTTACTGACCAAAGGAAAAAATAGTAAGTATATTTCCGATTTTGATTATACTTGCAAATTTTTGCCCCGATAACACACATTTCATTTTCATTTACTCAAAAAAGAAAAACCTACAAATTTTCAAGATTTAAAATATTTGGAAATATTTCAGATAGATTTTTACAATGAGGTTTCTCTCGGTCTATTTTGTAGAAAACAAGTTCTTCTTTGTTTTTGACATTTTTTCATAATTTAATTTTTTCTCGGTTTTTTTACGTGTATCGTCACGTTTCTTGTTACTTGTTTACGCGTTTACTCTCGTGTCCGCACAGATGCCGAGTGACCTCGTATACCGCAGCTATTCTAGGTCATGAATCATTCGGTTTTGTCAGCAAAGCGCAACCTGCAGAATTTGCACAAAGTTTTGTATGTTATGTCAACAAACACTTTTTTTGTCAAATCCAAGTTTCGTCTGACGCACATTTCTCTAGATCGGCAGAACTGACCTGATAATGCTTCGCGTTGCAAAATTTTTCGACTTATTATTTATCACTTAGAAACTTTGAAATTATAAAAAAAAATATATATATATCGAGTTTTTGGAGAAAAAGCTGCTTATAAAATGAAAAATAGAATATTAATTAATCATGGAATAAAAAATTTAACAGAGAACTTACCTATTGAATTTTGCTTTTTTAAAATTCAAACAATTAAACCTTCATTTATAGAGTTTTTCGCACGTTTTTTTGTCTTTTTATAAAGAGTTGTAACTCTAGTTGTGAACGTTTACTAACTAATACAACGAAAACGGATGTACCTGCGCATTATCTTCTCGACCTAGTAATCAGTATAATTAAACGACGAGTTGATAACTTCCCGATGCGTGTCCCCAATAGACTTGTTGACAATGCGCATGACTGTATTTATTACCTGCAAAATAAAATGAGCAAATATTAAGCTGCTAACGATAAAACGCGTGTGTGCATATATACATCCATCACAGCTAGTGACAGGACGACAGAAAGATAAATTGGAAACGTCTTATATAGTTATATGTATGTTATTCAAGAGTCAATTATGTTTTCATAATCTACGTACACACAACGGGGAAAGAGAAACTCATATTTAGTCGTATATGTTTTTATTTGTACATTATTTTTTTATATTACAATATACGTGCAAGCTTATATGATCCAGTTTCTGGATGATTTGAAATATAAATTTGAAATTGAAAGAGAGAGAGAGAGAGAGAGAGAGAGATTAAAATTAAATATAAATTTATATCAAAATCTTTTTTACTATCGCAAATAACAAACATAAACTCTCACGAGATCAATGTTGCCTGTATTTTTTTGCCTGTATTATTCTTTCCATCAAAGAACTTTAAATTCCTGTTACATACGTCTCTCGTTAATCTCCCGACCTCTCTTGCGTTTGATCGTCGCCTACGCACACGCGCGCACCTAACACGCCGAATTATGAACGTATTATATGCAGAAACCAACGACTGCTTCGTGACAATTGCGCTCGGCAAGGAAAAGTACCAGACGTCAGTAAAGGAGAAGGCAAGCAAGGACGTGGAATGGCACGAAGAATGCGAACTGTCAATTCCAGAACAGGGCAATATCGCGGAGATTGTTCTCACAGCTCTTCATCGTAACTTCCTAGGTGTCGACGAATTCCTCGGCATCGTCAACATACCGCTCTCCAGTTTCGACGTGTACGAAAGACCCAGAAACAGATGGTGCGTTTGCAATAATATCAATTGTAAATTGCGTTTCACGCAAATCTTTCTCTTACGTAGAAAAATCGACAATTTTAAATGGACAATTTTAAATACTTGCTATTAAATAAAGAATTTGTATTTTTGGATTACAACATGTGTACATACAATAAACGCTCTTGTATTAGGTATGCGCTAAACAGTAAGCCAGGTAAAGTGAATACAAAAGAAAGAGGTGAGCTTGAAGTGAAGATCGGCTTTATCGTGAAAGCCGGTAGTCTAACCGATCTAAGTAAGAAGGAACGTCACAAAAGCTCGCTGGGTCAGCTATCCAACGCTGCACAATCAATCGGTGGTAGTTTACTCAGTATCGGCAGTTTTGAGAAACGTAAAGGTCTCAAGAAATTGGCCAAGTCGATCGGCAACAAGGTCAAAGGAAAGAGTAAGAACCGAATCGACGGAGATCATTTAGATGAGAAGGAAGAACATCAGTACAAAATCACACGACAGGAACCCGGTGAGGCCGATCCTGGTGTTATCAGCGAGGATGAGGACGAATTTACGGTAAATAAAAAGCTAATTACATTCTAACAATTCTTGATATATATTCCCCGCGAAAACTTCAATAAATTTCTGTTTTTTATGTTGTGTAGTTTGACGATTTGTCTCATAAGAGTTCGGCCTCATCGTTGAACGCACCTGTACCAACTAGTAATACCAATGGCATTTCGAATAATTCACAAAACGTCTCCAATGAGACACACACGCCACCAGCGCCACTTAATGCCGCGCCGAGCAAACCACCTCGATTTGTCATGAGTGCTTCCACTACAAATCTGTCTAAAGTCGACAATTTGACGAAAGACGACGAATGGGGTTTGAAGCTCTACGGCAAGCAAGCAAGCGGAGTTCCTAAGAGGTAAAAAATGACACAAATAAAATATTCTTTAAAAATAAGTAAACTATAAAACATGTAGAAACAAAATAGAATAGTTTTTTAAATAAAATTATAGTAGATATAAATGTTTATTAATTGATATATATAAGCTTGAAGCAATTTGTTCGTATTTCTGTTCTCAGATGGGAGAGCAAGCCCAAGATCGTGATAGACGAGACGCAGGATAACAAACGTGACGCGTCGCCCGCACGTTCGCCGTCACCGGTGGTGTCAAGACTGAAAGAACCTCCGGAACCGCTCAACCCAGCACCTAGAGAGATACTTCATCAAAAGAACAAAGACGATAAGCTTGCCGCTAGCAAAGAGAAACTCACGAAGGAAGAGAAGGCAAAGGACAAAAAGGACGACAAACACAGTCCACGAAGTCCTAAAGAGGAAAAGAACGCGAAAAAAGATAAGAAGAAAGACAAAGAGAACAAGTTCAAAGATGTTAACGACGAGACACATTTGTCTTCTGAAAGAATCATCATCGGCGGCGAAGATGCAATTAAAAATGCCGCGAATTTAAGGAGTCGCCTACCGCACGAAGTTCTTAATCAATTCGATGGAAAATCGCGAGAAGTAAATGTGTTAACTTATATAGACACGTTTTTCTTTTGCTCTGACAACATAATATTTTTATCGCGTGTTTTGTTTACTTGCAGGATTTAATAGAACTGACGCTACAACTGCAAACACAAGTCACAGAAAAGAACAAGAGACTTAACGATCTGGAGGACTACATTGATGCTTTATTGTTACGCGTAATGGAAGCGTCTCCGCGACTACTTCAAAATCCATATCAAAGACGATTATCATCTCCCGGAAACCAGTAAATTATTCATCCTCGATACGAAGCTTTACTTATCTCTACTTCAAAGTTTACGTATTATTTTTCCTAGGTATAACTAGATTGATCAAATTGCAACTGCATATTTGTTATTAACGATAGCTTGTTACATTAATTAACGCTAATTTATTTTCCCCGAGTTTTATGATAAATGTTCTCTTGCACAAATTTGTCTTATTTATTTATAATTTTGTGAGAATAATCGTAATAATGTCCAAGAGTAAATGAGTATTAGTGACCAAATAGTAATTTTTATCCGGATGATTTATCTATAATTTTATATAAACAAACGATGGACATGTCAATCGCATTAAAATGTATCTGTAATTCCTTGTCTTCCCAATATATTGAATGAAATCCCTCAAATATGTTTGCGATTGAGATTTCCGTTTGGTTGTCCTTTGCAGCAAAACTAGCGAACACGACTGTGTCTCATCATCATTATTATTATTGTTATTAAATAAATGTAAATAAGATAATACTTTTTATAAAGTGAGTCAGACTATACATATATATATATTGATAAAGAAACTATACGTAGTAATATTTTGCACAACCTAATGTTTCACAGAAAAAACGTGCCTTCCATCATATGCACTCATATTAAATTGGATCATGACTTGTTAATTACATTACTCTTAAATAAAGATAATATCAAGTGTTCACATACATAAAGTATTATATTTACTGTAACGTTAATAAATTTAATATTGTATATAATCTGTTTGTCATCATTTATATGCAGTTTTCTATGTTCCACTTACGTATATGCATGTTTGTAGAACATAAAAATTTAAACTAAACAGAAAAAAAAGATTTCTTTCCTTTTACAAACAACACGCGGCTACAACTAAAAATAACGTGTGATAGATAAACTACATAATTACAAGACGCACGGTAGACACGGTAGTGCCTCGCGCCAAGTTCACGCGCAACGAAGTCACGTTCGAACTGAGCGAAGCACTCGTGCCTCTTACACGCGAAATTTATGCGATTGAGAAGTGAGATTTTCATGAAGCAATATCTCAAAAAACGACCGAACCAATCGCTTTCGTTTAAATTATTAATTTAACTCTAAATCGCTACAGAACAAAACACTAAAAAAAACAAAAGTATTCTTGCATTTTTTAAAGTCACGTGACAAAGAAGAGAGGAAAACCACCACGTGATCAAATATATATAAGATATAATATACATACATACTAATATTATATATAATATTATGTATATAATTTATTACATGTTTATAATATTATATCTTATATTGTATTATATATATTATATATATACGCTGAGTCACTGACCTCGGTCACGTGACTGCGGCGGGATCATTAACCTCGGGCACGTGACCGCGGCGGGGTCATTAACCTCGGTCACATGACCGCGGCGAGATCACTGACTTCGGGCACGTGACCGCGGCGAGATCACTGATTTCAGGCAGGTGACCGCGGTGAGGTCATTGACCTTTGTCACGTGACTAAGGTGAAGATCAATCACGTTGGTCGATTAGCTTTGACTATGCGATTAATCAATTTCACGAGACCTGCTACTTGCGTTTAATGTGAAACGAGCTTTAAAATCTACTTTTGTGGATATATTGCTAAAATCAGCGGCTAAAACCGTCATAAGAAACTCTAATAGGATAGCCGCTCTCAGGCTTCTCTCTGGTAAGACGTATATACTAGCTGTCATCGCGGTGACAGGTTGTGTTTAGTGGCACACGTTAAAATAAAAACAATAACAGCGTGCGCGTAGCGCGCGCCTGTGTTGTGCTAGTACTTACATAATTTAGTTTCTTACGACTTACAACTTTCTCGGTTTCAGGCGCCATAAATCCATAAAAGTAGATATGCTATATATAACTATGTATAACTATATATTAAATGAATAATATAAGGCCGATACGAGCCAATCCCAGGATATTGAGCGGGAACTTGAACGTGCATACATATATGTATACATCTATAACAAGTATTACTTGTAAATTTTTACAAGTAAGTTTTTTTGAATTGAAAATTCAATTCTTAAATTCATACGGGATGCGGGATTTGCATCTCACATATGAAAGACCCCGAATACCCCCCTAACTAATTTTAAAATATTGCGAAAAAAAAAGAATAATTTTTTGAATTTTCAATTCAAAAAAACTTACTTGTAAAAATTTACAAGTAATACTTGTTATAGATGTATACATATATGTATGCACGTTCCCGCTCAATATCCTGGGATTGGCTCGTATCGGCCTTATATTATTCCTTCAAACTTTCACGAGCCCTAAAATATTATTTAACTATATATTACTTGTTTCTGCTCTTAAATGTCGCGATGTTACTGCCACGTATGTCAAATACAGATACAAATCAACTCGGTAAGGCTGCTTTCCTTTTATTAGGAGACACAGTCGACACAAGTCGACACAAGAGTCATTCTGTCTTTGTTTCTCACTGAATACTGAACGAAGACAGAATGACTTTTGTGTCGACTTGTGTCGACTGTGTCTCCTAAAAGGAAAGCAGCCTAAATAAAACTATTTATCTCTGATTTTGTTCCTATTCTATGTGCGCTCTGTCGCGCGCGTCGATTCGATATTTCGATTATCGAAGTATTACCGCGCATTTCGATACACTCGAATTAGCGGGCAGTTATGGCGGACGCACGACGCGGAGTCGAACGACTAAGATCGACTTGTTCCTGTATTTTTCGCGATTATCATCTTGCGCGCGAATATCAGTCGTACATGTGTGTGTTGTGAGATGTCGAACGTTCACAGTGATACGTAATTAATATCGCGCATTACTTAATAATCGGCAAGTATATAGTGAAATTTTTTCGCGGCCGTTTGCGATCCTAAAACAAAACGCGCGCGAAAGATATGAAATAACCGACGCGCGACGCAAAACTAACTTTTCTTTTGAATCAGTTCGTATTTTTCGCGATCATCGTCTCGCACGCAAATACGTGAAAGTTGTAAAATATCGAATGTTAAACTGTCCACTGCTGTCCGCTGACAAATTGTCAAAGACGTTTTTCTCAGCGCCGCCTAGGAGTCCGGATCGAAAATTCTAGAGCCTGGACTGGCGCATGCGTGATAGGGACAGCAGGATGGCACCTTTCTAACCACTTCACACACACTTTTAACAACACGATTCGGGAATGCGCGATTTTGAAGAACATTAAAAGGCCTGTTGCGTGTCTTGTGTGAAATTTTAGGTTAATCCGTCGTCAAAATCGCCCGACAATGACGGACGGCACCGGGAATGAGGATTCTGCCGCTTTTAATTCTAGATCAGGTAAGATTTTCACAGATCGTAACGAGGTTAGAATTGGTTAGATTTTGCTACGGCGCAGCGGGAGTTTTGGACAATGTGTGCGTTTCGTGACACTTTCAGACTGCAGTATTTTAATCAGCTATTAGTTTAAGCATTTCCGCTTCTGGAAACAAAATTTCTTGATCATTCTACGTTTCCATACTTTTGTCAATTCATATATCAACTGTTTTCGATTTGTCGCAGTTGTCGTTATTTTATTACTCCAAGATGATACAAAGACTAAAACATTAATAAGCGTGTATTTTTTGTAACGGATAAATGTGGTCTCTAGCGCGTTGGTATCTTTAAAGTTTTAATATGTCATGTAATAAATATTTGATTATTGTTAATTGTGCTGAAGAAAGATTCAATAGAACTGTAAAACTGTTTACTATTATTTCAAATATAAAATTTAAATTAAATGAAACACACTTTATATAACAAACATCTTTTTTGCTTGTACTTAATCTTATTTTGATTATGTTTTAGTTAAAATTAAAGCAAACTTAAATAATAAATATGTATGTATATATTTATTATTGATACGATAAAAAAAGTTTCTTGTTTTTTTATTTTTGAGAAAAATATATTGCAGATCCAGTTAAAGCTACTAGCAGTACTGCGGGTCCATTAGTTTTATATTCAACCGCACAAGCATGGCGGATGCAAATTTTCCGTAATTTTACATATAACGGTATCTCAGAATCATCAGATGAAGAGGAAGATTTATCTCAGTATCAATTCGAAGATGATCTTGAATATCTCAGATCGCTCAATCCTAGAGATTGGAAAGATCAGGATCATTATGCTGTTTTAGGCTTGAAAACTCTTAGGCACAGAGCAACAGAAGATCTCATCAAAAGAGCATGTATGTAATTTGTACTTTTTAAAGATTGATCGACATTAAGTTTTGAATATGTAAAATGAATTACAGATAAACAAAAAATTCTGAAGCATCATCCTGATAAACGTAAGGCAATGGGTGAAGAAATTCGACCGGATGATGACTATTTTACATGCATAACTCGTGCTTGGGAAACTCTTGGAAATCAGGCTAAGAGACGAAGCTACGACAGTGTGGATCCCTATTTCAACGACAGTCTGCCCGATGAGAAGGATTGTCGGAGTAATTTTTACGAGGTATTAGGTAAAACGTTTAAGGAAAACTCACGATGGTCCGTGAAGAAACCTGTACCGCAATTGGGCGGGCCGTATATGCCGAGAGAAAAGGTGGAGAAATTTTATTCGTTCTGGTATGATTTCGATTCCTGGCGTGAATATTCGTACCTTGATGAGGAGGACAAAGAGAGTGGTCAAGAGTAAGTACGACGAGTCACAGGGTTTTCTTCAAAGGACAATTACAACATAGCGTTTACGACGAAATTACTTGCAGCCGGGAGATGCGCAGATGGATCGAGAAGAAGAATAAAGCCACGAGAGCGAAGCGGAAAAAGGAGGAGATGGCGCGAATACGCTCTTTAGTGGATATGGCTTACAATATAGACCCTAGAATTAAAAAATTCCAACAAGAAGGCAAGGATAAAAAGAACGCGATGAAGAGAGCGAAACAGGAGGCAGCGAAAGCTAGGCAGCAAGAAGAAGAAAGAATAGCTCGGAACGCGGCAGAGAAAGAAAGATTAGAGAAAGAGAAGAGAGAGTCCGAGGAGAGAGCGAAACAGGATGCGTTGAAACAAGAACGAGAGGCGCAAAAGAAAGCGTTGCGTAAGGAAAGGAAGGCGCTCAGAGATTTTTGCAAAGCAAACAATTACTTTGCCGAGAACTCGACCGAAAGTCTCCGTCATATGGAAAGTGTGGAAAAAATTTGCGAACTGTTTAAATTGGTTCAACTTGAGGAAGCGATGAAGAGATTGCAGACTGATGGCAGAAACGCGTTTTTGAGTATCGTCGAAGAAACGGAACGTAAGATCGAAGAGGAGCGCCGTGTGAACGTTGCTAACAACGATGCAAGAAACACTCTCGATAAACAAACCAAAACCTGCACTGCTCCTTGGAGCGAGAACGATTTACAGCTATTAATAAAGGCTGTCAATCTTTTTCCCGCTGGTACAAATCAACGTTGGGAAGTAGTAGCAAATTTTATCAATCAGCACAACAATTCAACCAACGGAGTCATTCGCGATGCCAAGGAAGTTCTCGCCAAAGCCAAGAGTCTGCAATCGACTGACTTTAGCAAATCGAGTTTAAAAGAACAAGCGAATAAGAAGGCCTTCGATAACTTTATTGCCGAGAAGAAAACGAAGGACGCGGTCGAGGAAAGAATGCCGGCTGTTACGGAACGCTTGGATCATCCGATAGCTAACGGTGTCGCTGTCGAACCAAAAGAAATAAAAAAGGAATCAACGCCGTGGACGCCAGGAGAACAGAAACTCCTAGAACAAGCGTTGAAAACCTATCCCACCACAGTTTCGGACAGATGGGACCAAATTGCAGCGTGTATACCGACGAGAACAAAAAAGGAATGCATGAGGAGATATAAGGTAAGAGTTAAATCAAAGAGAATATATATGACACGTTTATTATTGTTTTATATAATCACTCAGTTATTTACCATTGGATTTATATCTTGTTTGCAGGAATTGGTAGAACTCGTGAAAGCAAAGAAAGCTGCGCAAGTGTCAAAATAATATTAACTGCAGGCTAAGCTCGAAATTGTTTTCTTTAACTTATTGAACTCTAGTTAACGAGCAAGCGTTGTCCTATCAGATAGAAAATTTATTAAATTTTAAGACTGCGGACGACGAGAACCTCAGCTTACTCAATGAGTGGCAGTTTGCGCGCCTATCTGTGCCTTGCTACAGCCGACAATGTGTGGAGAGCTAGCCGCACGGCATAATGGGAAAAAAACAAATTTCGGCGTGTTTTGTTCAATCGGTTTTGCCGGCACCATTTAATTCCTACGCGCTGTACACTCTGAACATATATGTTCGAGACCGTGCCGATTGTTACTTCCGACGGAGCTTACGACTTGGGAGGATGTCTTGTGTACAGCTTTCTTTTTGCTATATGGATTTTCGTAACCAACCTATACAGTTCACGTTGTAAGTACGGTGTACAATAAAGATAGAAGAACACAACGGTTCTGGAACGATGGACTTTATAAATAAACGAGAACATTTTGGATATCTTGTCATCACAAAGGAACATTTCCTCTGGAATCCTATGGTCCCGTGAGTATCTTTCCTTTATTTATCCTAATGATATATCGAATCCCGTCCATTTCTTTTACTGTTGATCCCATTTTTTCAAAAAACAATTACACCGCATTTCTATATTATTGAAGCTGCGATTTTTAACCCGCATATATTTTCTTATTTTTCTAAAGATAGTATTTTTGTTCTGTACAACATCTCTATATTCTAACCATCTCCGTATTCTTACGGTCTTAATGAAAATATGTTAAAAATAAAGAAGTTTCACTATGTGCGTAAAATTGTGAGAAAAGTTTTATGGCTATTGAAAAGAAAAAATATTATTTACGAGGACATACAATGTGGCAGGATTTTTTGTGAAGGAATGTTGTTTCAGTCACCGTTCAATTTTTATTTTTCCTATTTTTCTCACTCCATACTTGAACATTCCAAAAGTTTAGAGAATCCCATATTTGAAACACACGGCGTTACGCACTGTTATAAATTTACGAGCGGCGAAATATATAAATCAGACGGCAATGTGTCTTATTTCCTTCGACGAGTCCGCAGTGTGTGTACGCCACTAAAATCTAACAGAGTAGACGAATATAATTATTGTGCACTTTTGTTCCGTCATATCGCTGAATGAAAGTCTGTCGGAAAGTTTCGTGTAATCTTCACAACGTTCTTTATCATATATTTTTCACACTATGTCCGACGTTACTATTATATATATCAATAGTGTTTATTACAATTAATATTAATTTCCGGTTATTATTATTCGCGGCTATTAATATCAATCTTATTTTCAAACAAATCGAATACTATCCGTAACAAATAGATCGAGAGAAACGATCTTAATACAAGTAGAAATACGCGATTGGTCCTGCTGAATTCTGCATTCTCAGCTCTCTGTACACATTTTACGAAAACATATACACATATATATATTTATTATATTTATACACAGGATGTTCTAAATCTTCAAAGCGAAAGGAGAGTAATTTTTTTTGTTTTTTTTTTGTTTTTTTTTTTTAATAGCAGATTTCGACGATAATATCGAGTCGACTTTCTTAAGTTTTACTTCGGCAAGACTGAGATTTCTTTCCCCCAGTTATAAAAGTGTGTACTTTTTCTTGACTTTAATTTATACACAGAATTGTATATATCCTCCCTGATCGTATATTTCAGTCTCACGAGATAGAAGTTCGATCTTTCTCTCTCGCGAAATACACATTCACGATAAACTTCACAATAATATACAAAACATGCGTCTCTTGCGTTTCAATCGCGATCGGGATTTTTTTTTTTTTACGTACGGTATGTAAATGGAGCTTTTTAACGCACAATCTACATTTCGATGTAAATCTGTTGTTTCGCTTCGAGAGGGTGTATAAAAAGAGCCGAATAATAAAGATATATTATTAGAAAACTTCGAAAAATTGAAAACTCGAGTAGTATATTATTACGCATAAGCAAAGCTGCTGTCTACTTCGTATAAGCAAAATAGTTCTTCTAAAGTTTAATCGCCGACGATCCGTTTTTACTTTCGTCAATTTAATTTTGTGTCAAAAAAAAAAATCATTTTTTTTTAGAAACCCACGATTACCGATCTTTTCTTTTTTTTCTGGAAAAAGATTTTCGTCGGTCGGACGAAAGAGATTGACATCTCTTTTTATGTTCATGTTTGAGTGCAAAATCATATGAACGAAAAAAGATCGATTGCACGAGGTTGTTGTAATTTCTATGACAATTTTTATTCAGACATTATAAGATATAAACAGATTTTGAATTTTCAAATATCATAAGTGGTTCTGGACCGTGGTGCTCCATTTACTGTTTTTTTTTTTTTTTTTTTTTAGTTTTTAGTTTTGTGTTTCTCTCGTGAGGAGCACACAAAGGCGATCTATATAATTTCTTTTTTTTTTATAGAGCGTAAAAAATTCTGCTGCTAGTTTGTATGGTCATGTGTATACACGGACCCGTAGTTTCTGTGAAATTACAATTTACTATACTTCATAGTAATTATCCAATTTATTATCCAAATCGGCATCTCATTCGTACCTTCTAATTTGGCATAACGCGTACGTATATAATATATATATATTTATATATCTCTCACGTAATATGTGTGTGCGTGACAATTTCAATAAGCTGTCACTTTTACATATATATAAAGAGATTGAACGGAAGAGAGAGGAGGAAAAGGAGAGGAGTCTTTTGAAAATACACAAATTATAATATATATGAATAAAAACCACTAGTAGTGAGAGATGAGATAATCCTCGATTATTCGTAGAACGCAATCGTCACAAATCGATCGCCAGTGCAAGCACGATGTTTTTTTTTGCTTGTAATAATAACTTTGCGCAAACGCTCCTAATTTAAAGCAGTACATGGACAAAAACAACGTAGAAAGGAACAAACGCAAGATGAGAAAAATAGATTGATAATACTCGTGATACTCGTGGGAGAAAACTTGCAAATAGAAGATGCGTGAGAAAGAGAAGTTCGCATATTGGTCATAGATAAGCCAAGAGGCTTCGAGGAACGTGGTTCTGAAAGTATTTCACATTGGTAAAACCGCGTAGGTATCGTAAACCGATTTGTCTATCGCCTGTTGTTCGCTAACGAGTACCAAAACTCGATTCGCGCAAGATCTCTTTTTTTTTTTTTTTTTAATTACTAGATCCTAATTGGTTCTCTATAAACGCTCTCTGTCTCTTTCACGGTTTTGACATTTGTATATGTACAAATACGGGACAAAATCACACGACAAATCTCCAGAACCACGCCGATTGACGAATACTTATAAAATTTACGACAGCTTAAAAATTTGTGTGTCAACGACTATAAATTAACATTTACGTAGTTACAGTAATTCTTATACACGTTTCTCCGGTTTCCAAAAAATCTCACCTTTTCGCGTACCCAAAAATCACTCGAATGACATGCGATTTTTTTCTACATATTTTATTATTAAAATTTGAAAACTCTGAAATTGTTGCGGCTGCTGTAGCTTTTCTATTGCAGCTACGCGTTCCTTATGCGAGTAAACTCTTCGTGCGTAAAAAGAAGTTCGACCCGGTTCGATTTCCGAACGATTTATTCCAGAATGTGTTTAATTATCGCGCGGATATTGTTTTTGTTTAATTTTATCTTACGTTCGAGGCAAAACGCCTGATTCATTTGCCACTCTGTTTTTCGAGATGATAAACAAAAATTGAAAAATTGATTGCTCACAAATAATTTACTTTTATTTTCAAAGCTCCTTGATTGTTAATTATTTTTTAATAATTTCTTACGGCATAAGTTTCTATATATTATTTGATAAGATCACTGAAAAATCTGTTAGTAAATCTCTCGGAAAACGATGCGCGTCTCTCACCATATCAGACTGTCAAAAGTATCTATTAAGTAATTTTTTTTTTTTTTTATAAGGCTCTCCGTTGAGTATGCATGTATTGAGTGTATATAATCGTGAATTGAGAGAAAGAGAGAAAGAGGAATTTTTGAATATTCTTTCACGAAATATATAAATTTTCGCGTTTTCTATTGTTATTTCACGTCCGATTAATTCTTTCATAAGTGACAAAAAATCACATATCGAGTTGCTGCTTTGCTACACCACATGCGGAGGACGCGCGCATTCTTATCCTGTCCTTCCCCTTCTGTGTCCATACGTTTGTATATAATTTCGTTTATATACAATATACATATACTTACTGACAAAAGTTAAGAAACAAAGTAGTATTTTTAACATTAAATCGCTAAAAATCAGTAGGACGTCGCACATTATTTCTGGAGTCCACATGATTGTTGACCACTCACACACAGTAATGTACATATTCGTACACCGAAGTAAATAACTATTAAATAACTACTTTGGTTTTTAACTTTTGTCATTAAGTCTATATATGCATATGTATATATTTATATTACACGTATATGTCTCGCGAATATCTCTCGCAGTGCTATAGTTTTTATCGGCCATTCATCCTCACGCATATCAGCGGAAATATGTACGCGCAAACGGTGTTATATGTACAATTACAAATTACGAATAATAATATTTATATCGTCACAACACATATCGTCAGTAGTGTACAACACACACTCGACTCGCAGCTCTCTCTCCTCGCGCAATAATAATTTGCAATAATAGTTTGTTTTTTTATTTTTTATTTTTTTATTTTGTCTAAGTTGATAAAAGTCTGGTCCGAAAGAAGTTATAGATACTTAGGCACTTGTTATCTTTTCTATAATCCATGTACGAATCATGAGTGGTAATTATCGTGCTAGTAATGTGTTCAAGAACAAGGGCAACAATAGTTAATTATAATAATAAGAGCAATATAGGAGCGATTATCCGCCGACGTGTTTTTTTTTTTTGTTTTCACGGCTGTACGTGGTTCGTATTTCGTTCCATCTTCTTTTTTTAAACCCTTTATGACCTTAATTTTATAGTTTTTTTTTAAATTGCAATTTGCTCGCGCGACTTGCTTGCGCGTCTCTGTAAAAACAAATTTCGTATTGAGTGTAGTACCTATTTTAATTATTAAAAAATTATACAATGAATTGATATAGAAAGTACGTTACGTTACACGATTACTTTGAAAGTAATTGTATAAATATCTTCTATAGTGTCATAAAGAGTTATCGGGTAACAAAATTTGTAAAAAGTAGACGAATTAAAATAAATAATATGTACACATTATCTATTCAACAGCAATAATAATTTATAACAGCAATAATATAAGCAATGTAAAAAATTAATAAATTTTAATTTTGAGAAAAAGAAAGAATTTATTTTTCTACTTTTTGATCATAATTATCAGTATCTGAAATTTGGTGAGAACTTGAAAACTTTTGAGAGAACAAAATAACAAACTAGAAATTTGAAGTTTCAAAATAAAAATATTCATCTTTTTTTTTTAAATTCGTCTGCTTTTTACAACGCACTATACACAGAGTATTGTCCTTCATATTAGAACGAACCCAATAAAACTCGATAATCAAAAATCCGTTAAACGCGGAGACAATAATAAATCACTGGAAGATAGTTTCTAGAAATAAACTCAATTTCATCCAGAAGTCCGGGTGTATCAAAATGCTCCGTCGATTTTAATAATACAAAGAGCGAAGTTTAGCGTCGTGACAAAGTTTCTCCGCGGGCTATAAATTATACCCTAAAAGTCTATACGTATCTTTGTGCCTGAACGATCAGCAAAATCAATTTGTCCTGCTTGATCGAAACTCGCGCGAACCTCACTAAAAATATCGAGTCGAGTTAGGAATCAGAGAGTGACTTACTATATAGACTTATAATATCCAAAATGTCGAATAAACACTCACGCGCTCGTCTAGAAAATATTCGGTTGAACGAAAATACACGTTCATTGCTGCGTACCAAAGGACGAACATCCTATATAACGAGCAATTGCTCTTTGTCACAACTTTGTTTTGTATAATTTTTTTTTTTTTTTTTTTTCATTCTTTTCTAAACTAAGCCAGTGTTTCGTCTCGAGTAGCACCTCTGAAATTGCGCCTAACTATACAGCTATACGTATTTTTCGGAAACAGTTCAAAAGTGTTCTTTTTTTTTATAACAACAAAAACAACGACGATCGAAATCCCGTGCGCGATGCCGAATCCATCAAATTCGATCGATTTGAATTCTTCGCAGGGTGATTTTCGAGTTACTTCATGTAACTGACGATCTCGATTTTTCGGCGACTGCCTTCCCGGGAGAATCCGGGGGAGTTTTCCGGGTTACGTGGAAGATGTTCGCGTCGCGAGTGGCTTCTCGTCCTGCTAGGACGGCGGTTGCCGCTGCTGCTGTTGTTGCTGTCGGTTGCTGTCGCGACGACGGTAACTTGAGGATTGTTGTAACTGGTGATAGACCGGCTGGGCGCTCGATGGTTGCTCCTGCAGAGGCTGGTAACCGATGCCGCTCGTAGTTTGGTGCTGGCCGCTCCACGGCTGTTGCTGCTGCTGTTGTTGTTGTTGTTGCTGTTGCTGCTGCTGCTGCTGCTGCTGTTGCTGCTCCGTGCTCTGTTGCAGCTGATAGGACAACGGTTGGCCACGCCGCTCTTGCAGGAGCAGCTGATGAGCGGCCCGGTCCATCTCTTCGCGCGTCATGTCTAACGCTTCCTGCATCTCGCGTGACGTGTATCGTACGAAATCCGGGTCGCAATACTTGCCCAGACCTTGTTCCACTAAGACCTGTTGATAATAAATAATTAAATTTAACGGCACGATTCTCAAGAAAGTCCTTTCAAATATTATCATTTGTTACATACTATATTACAAGTGTTAATTACGTAGAAATTAATTAACGTAAATCAGTTAAAACTTATTCTTAAGAAATTACACAAAATATTTTACTCAAGTAAGCAGTAGAAAAAATTATTTTTGACATTTTCATAGTTGTTTTTTGTTTATTTAATTTGAAACTCACCCGACCGACGAGGCTTTCCGCACTTCCGATGACCTCAAAGTTCGGCTTTCGGTCCGCGGGACTACCAGGCATACTGTGGGACAGGCGCTCTGCGCCGACGCTTCCGTTACTCTCTGCAGCCCACGGAACTGGACGAATGAGGGATAGGCGTCAGACTGTTAGCTCGAATCATTATGCTCTGCCTCCTTATTGTTTACGATCGAATTTTTATGTTAGCGTGAACACACAGCGCACATTAGTGACACACGAGTGCTCATCTCAGGCTTCACCAAAATTATTAGTAATCAAAGAAAATTTGAGAAAGAGAAAGAAAGAAAGAGAGAGAGAATTGCAATTAAAACAAAGCCACAGATGTTAAATCATGTTAATTAGGATATTAGTTTGAAAGCTGACAGAGCGCATGCTTCGAGCAACAGTTGACTGACCTGTGCAACACTTTTGTATCCACGTTTCTCTTTGTGTATTTTTTTTTTGTCGAAATCTTATTTAGGAAAATGTGCGAGGGATAATTGCTCAAATAAAAATTGATTTTGCACATAAAGCGAGAACTGACTTTATATGCAAAATTTAATATTAAACGCATTCAATTTTTATTCGAACAAATTTTGATCGTTTCGAGTTTTTAAGATCGTATTTTGTGATTTTACCGAACTTATATTTTTTGGATAAAAAGTAACATCTAATAAAAAAACATTCTGTGCCGTAGTAAATATGTATCATATATGTATCTAGAAAAATATATTTAAAAACATAAAAACAAAAAATTAATTTCATACGATCTCAAAGAATAAATTCGCGTGCTAGTCACCTCTGCCGTGGTAGGACGCTCGGTGCGATAAGCAGGAAGCGCAGACGCGCCATTGTCGCGAATCGACATCGGCGAGGAAACCCGCCACGGCAATCGCCTGGTTTTGCGCCATTTTCAGGCCGTTGGCGATGGTGCGGGTGCCCGACTGGCTTGGTGCGTCGCGCGATCGGAAACTCGCCGGAGCCGATTTGCCGCCGGCGGTCGCGGGGTCGCGACGACCCCGCGATCGGCGTTTCGACGAACGGCCACCCAGCACGGTAACGTGGGGCTTTCCCGTCGTACCGCGCGCCACGCCACCCTCCGAGTGCGGGTTCCACCTGCCGGAATCGCTCGATCCGCTTCCCGTTGACGTGTCCTCGTCGTCACAATCGTCTACGGCTGCGTGCGAATGGACACGAGGACGTTTTAACAAATTAATTTTTTCAATTTTAAAAGAGTAATGGTTTTTTTGAGTGAGTCTTTTACATGAAAATGCTTATTTAAAAGAAAAAAAGAAACTTCTTTCTAAGAAAGTTTAGTTTCAATAAAAAAAAAAAAAAGAAATAAGTACATAAAGTAATGTGAAGTTATTATAGAGAATGAATACACAAAGTTTATAGCAATTTCTTGACGTCAAGATAAAGACGAAACGAAGTTTTTTTGCATGACTAAATCGTCGTACCGTGATTGCTCCAGACTGCGCAATCGGCACAGCAACCCCGTGACGCGTAGGTATAGTAACAGTTCGTGTCGTTGGACGAGGAAGCGGGGCTTGAGCTCGTCGCGGTAGTCGAGGTGTTCGCGCTCGCGGTGCACGACGCGGTGATCGTCGTCGTCGCGACGCTCGATCCGCTCGTCGTGCTTGCTGCGCTTGCCGATGCTGATGCTGTTGGTGCTGCCGTTGCTGCGGAGGTGTGAGCGGTACCGGTGCTCGGGGTACCGTTGGACGAGGGTGGTGGATTCCGTCGCGGCGGAGGTGTGGGTGGTGTCAACTGCCGCTCGATTCCGTCCTGAAGACTGCACGAGCGTGGACACGCAGAGGGAGAGCAAGAGGAGAAAAGGAGAAGCGCAACGATTGCTCTTTAGTATATTAGTGCAAATACGCCGTGGCAAATTCATATGCATCTTCGAATATCTCGATTTTTTTTTTCAGATTTTTTGCAAAGAAAATCTGAATAAAAACATGAAAGATTTTATTCAAAAACAAATCCTATCTTTTAGATAAAATAATATTATAAATGACAGATTTTTTTATTTTGTGTGTTGTTTTTTTTTTCTTTTTTTTTTTTTATTAATGAACACTTTGAGAGAAACGATTGAACAAAATTTTTTATCGAGACATACGAAGATGTTCACGAAGCGTTATCGTCAACGGTAAATCTATTAGTAGTATAGCCATACATTCAGCCAGACACGCTACTCGAGATACAAAAGCATTCTCTTCGCATCTCAAAATGCATACGCCGGTCCACGAGCCTATTTACTCTGACATTTTGACAGATCGGCTTTGGTTTATCATTTAATTTTTATCTACATATGTAATTGTAGAAACGTAGCTGAAAAGCTAGGATTAGTTAAAGCTGATCAATGAGAGATCCATGCATAGAACAAGCAATGCAGATCAATAAAAAAACCAAAAAAAAAAAACAAGCCAGCTACATTGGTGGCAAAGCCCTAACTTGTCTTACCATATCCGCTATTGGGATGGAGATAGTTACCGCTACTCGTTCCACTGAAACGTACGACAGTAAACAGAAAAGCGAAACAGATAAGAGATGATACGAATCATTCGCGCGGTGTTTAAAGCTCCTGCCAAAAAAGCGAAACAAAAAAGTTCCTCGCAAGTAGAAAACTTCTAATAGTGAGTTCGAGTATATCTTCATTTGCGCGTAAATAATTTTTTTCAAGTAAAAAAGAGATTTTGCGGCAATGTTTTTAGTTAGAATTTACAGAATTGATATTATGTATTTTATATTATGCATTTTTAGATATATATATTTTTTTTTATATTTCACGATATGGTGTGATACATCGAGCCAGTTAAAAAAAAAAAAAAAACTAATATCAATGAACATCATGCATGCACCGTGATGTAATACCGAGAGAGAGAGAAAGATTTGAGATCGTCGTGGAAGAGAATAACAGTTATTACACTCATTGTCAGGACGATGACAGTCTACTAAAAAGCGTCCGCTCGCGCACACACGCTCTGTACTTACTCGATTACTTTGTACGCGCCCATGTAAGATATCTGTTGCATCGGATTGCCGAAGGCAGCAAGCGGCCTCAGAGGTATGTTTTCCTCGATACCGTGAATTCTTAACCGAGGATCCATTCCCGTTTGATTTATTGCGCCGTCGCTCAGACCACTATGTACAATACATAAAGTAATTTAGTAACGCAGATATCGAGTCGAACAGTGACGTTTCGTTGTTTTTATTTAAAAAAAAAAAAGAGAAAAGAAAACGATTTAAAATTACGCGAAAGATACCTCGCTGCATTTGGCAGAGCTTGGTGAATAATTTGATTAGTGACATCCGGGATGCCGGTTCTTCGTAACGAAGCGTACGGCAGAAAGTCTATGGAATTGGTCGGGGAAACCTGTGTCAAAAATGTTTGATGGTTGAAGTGCGATTTTTCAGTAAAAGTAAAAATAGATGTTGAAGCGTCGAAACCATTGTCTACCTTCGCAGTGGTGGAATTGACTTTTAACGACCTCGCTCGGTGAAAACTGTGTCCTTTTCGCATGCTGGACCACACGCTGCCGAAGAGCGAGTGGTTTCTCTGAAAAAAGTATTTTTCAATACTTAATCACATTGTGACAAAAGTTGTTGGAGATGTACAATTTCGAAAATAATGGAAAAATTCAAAATTGTTACATCAAAGAGTCTCTCTCATAGAGTTTTTTTTAATACACGTAGAATATCTCTCTCACCCTGTGCATAGGTTCCGGATTGTCGTCAAGAAGTTCCTCTAGATTGCCGGAAATTGCGCGTTTCAATTCGGGACCGGCCTCGTGTAATGTTCTCAACCCGGCCTTGTGAACGAAAACACAGCATTTGATAAATATGATATTGCAGAGCGCGTGTGAACAATTACTGTTCTTCAAAAATAAACTCACCTGAAGAGTTACCGTGTTTTGACACTCTCTGTCGCCATCCTTCGCTGACTGTTCCTTGCGTTTCTTGAACCGACGGAAATAATCCTGAATGAGGAAGGTCGCGTAAAATTTGCCGACTGTCACCTCGTCTTTTCCTGAAAAACGTCGTTTTTGAAAAATCGCGTAAATTTTTGCGCGTCGAGAGAAATACAAAAAGTTTACACGAATTCGTTACCTCCGGGAGGTGGAACAACCTGATCCAGAAGTTTCGGACTGGTTCTCTTCCAAATTTTTTTAATTACCGCCCTAAGCTCGGCGTTGGCGTCGTCGATGTTTCCCTCGGTCTTGATCTTCAACGACGTTCTGACGACGGCGAACAACGTCGCGTTGAACAACACGGTGCCGTCGCTGTTCAATGGCATGTTCATCGTGACGAGTTTCTGAGTTTAATGTAAATTTTTCATAATTAGAAACAAATCAAATAAAAACTAACTTTGAAAATATTCCAAGAGCGAAAATAAATCAAAATACTTTATTAAACACTCCCATACTGACCGTGCAAGCTACTCTGTGAGGACACAGCTTTCCGAAACCTAAAGGCGGCGATATCTTCCTCAGTAATGCCACCACGTCGAGATGTTTAATACGTCCCTTTGCGTCGGGATCGTATTCGGACCAGAGACGAATAAACTCGTCCAAGTGATGCGGTCCGAGAATCGACCAGTCTCTCGTCAAATAATCGAAATTGTCCATGATAACGGCGACGAACAGGTTGATGATCTATTTTTTACATGGACGCGATATAACGATTATTTGAAGTCTTTCTGTTTCAAAGATTTCAATGAAACTTAACACAAAATACAAGAGAGAGAAAAGATAAACTCACGAGAAATGAGCAGAGCACGTAGAAAGATATGAAGTAGGGAAATGCAATGTCCGAACCACAACCGACTGGATTGCCAACTTCGTCGCTGTTATCGTCGCACTCAACATCCGGGCTCGACGAGCAAGCCATCATGATTTCCTGCCACGCCTCGCCTGTAATCGCAGACATTCGATCGATCATACTTACTTCAGTAATAATATTATTTGTTACATATTTGTGATGTACAAATTTATGTAATATCTCTCGCAATTATGTGTGTGTGTGTGTGTGTGTGTGCGAAGATAAAATATATACGCACCTGTGGCTGACCTAAACAAAACCAACACGGCTTGCGGAAAGGATTGAAAGTTATTATTGCGATTTATTGATGTTTCATCGTTTATCGCGATCTTCCCGAAAACCTGCGAAAACAGAAAACGTGAATTGCTGTCACTTTTGGGCAGGCGTGTTTCTGAGACTCGATTGATCGACATCGCTTACTTGCATGCCTATCACAGCGTAAATGAAGAAGAGCATTATAATGAGAAGGGCGACGTAGGGCAGTGCCTGAAACGACTTGATAAACGTCCATAAAAGCGTCCGAATGCCCTCCCCTCTGCTCAGGAGCTTGACTAATCGCATTACGCGAAACAGTCTGAAGAAATTGATGGAAATGATGGAGGATCCGGGCTGCGAGGATCAGAAAACATGCTTTATCAAAACGGTTTCACTTTCTCGGCGCTTTTTAAATCGAACATATCGCCGCGACCGGTGCTCGATCATAGTCTCGCACAACGGATACTCACGTTAACTTCCGAGTAAACAATATCGATGAAACTCCCAAGCACGATAATAAAGTCGAAGACGTTCCACGCATCGCCGAAGTAATTCTGCGAGTTAATAACGAGAACTGATTGAAGTGAGCACACATATGAGAGCAAAATTATTTTAACAGTTATTGTGTGTGTGTGTGTGTGTGTAAAAACGCACATTAAAGGATAATAAATATTGTGACATTGAAATACGACTCGTACCTTAAATCGAAACGCGGCTAACTTGAACACGAATTCCAGCGCAAACACGGCGGTGAAGATCATGTTGAGAACGTCCAGAGCGTTTGTGTAAACCTCCGGTTGTCGGTAGAACTTCATCGCGAGCGTCACGGTATTAATCATAATTAACGTGAATATCGTGTACTCAAACGGCTGTGAGGTGACGAACCACCAGACTTTGTACTGTATTCGATGCTTCGGTATATATCGTCGCACTGGTTTGGCTTTCAGCGCGAATTCGATACAGTTTCTCTAAAACAAAAGAATATAATAAATATTTGCGAACGAACAAACTTGACGATCAATTTATCGATTCGTTGATCTCACCTGATTCTTATCGAGTTCGCAGTTTTTGTACTCTTGCTCGCCTTCGTTTTGGAAGGTAACGATAACGAAACCGACGAAGATGTTCACCATGAAAAACGCGATGATGATGATGTAGATGATGTAGTAGGCGGCCACAATCGGCCGAAAGTTATGAATTGGTCCTTGATTCTCGTCATTAGAATCGATCGACCACTCTAACAGCCTGTTATTGTACAGAAGACAAGTGAGTGATCTTACGCGTCTTCGGAGTTGCCTCCATTTAAGTCTACAACGTCTTTTGAAGCACCGTTGCATTTATTCAAACAATACATAAGAGATTATATATATATATATATATATATTTTATTTTCATATTATTTTGTATATGTATATATATAAACATTGATCAATAAAGAACGGGAAAAGGAAGTTCTGAAGAATCAGTTGCAGCACGTAAAACATAAAAGAAAGGAAGAAGAAAATGATTCTCGATAAAAACTTTATTGAATCGGAACTGGAAAGCAAGGTTTGCATAAATAGTTCTTCTCTGCCGCATTTAATTCGCAATAGAAATCTCAGAAAACACAAACGTTCTTTCGAGAACGCAACGCGAATGTACTTACGATGGCCAACCTTCGAACGTCGAGACCGTGAAGAGAGTTAGCATTGCTTTGTAAACGTTATCAAAGTGGAACTTTTGTTGGAGCCACTCTCTAGTCTTCACAACCGGTCTATTGATATTGCCGTCCTCGAATTCCAAATAAGTACCCCTGTTGCAATTTTTTCATGTTTAACGTAAATAGTTGCAAACAATCTATATATATCTTGTTGTTTGTTTTCAAACAAATTGACATACAAGTTGCAAATCGAAACTTACTGGCACTCGTTCTTCGTCATTTTCGACGCGTCGGTACAATAGAAGAACTTTCCCTGTCATGACACAAGAAGTTTATCAGTTTAGATAACAATTGACGTGTCCGTGATGCGAATACGGACTTGAAATTCGTGTAACATGTTAAAGCTTTGGACGTGCTGGCGTTCTCGAAATTCTCAATGACATCGTTTAGTAAACTACATAATTATCTTCTTTCCTTACATAAATAATTTACATTGCTCTCTTTGATGGTCGATCTTCTCAATCAATAAATTTTAACAAACATGAAAGAACAAGATGACGTTGCTGTTTGTTTGTGATTTCGCTACTCTTCGATTATACGGTATATGTGTGTGTCTGTAATGTGTGTGCGTGATTGAATTCGAAAATTGCCAGCACGTCGAATTTACACATCAGCTATGGAATCGGCCATTCTTGCAAGAGCAATTGTCAGCACCAGCAACAGCGAAAACGTGATCGAGCAAAGAAGGATGTTAATGTGAGACAAACGTAATAGAAAAAAAAAAAAAAGAAAAAAAAGAACGGAACATTCCTCGTCGGCACGTGCATACATATGTACAACAAAGGTACACGGAGCGAAAAACGTTAAGGTTCCTCGACGATTCCGTGTGACTGTAGATATATATTCGTTATAAATAAGCGTTTTGTCACACGTCAATTCGGTGGTAATATACACAAACATTAAGTGCATAATAAGCACGCCGAGGGAGAGGTGTGTTGGTAAAACGTGTCCGTCGCCACCTCGGAACTTGCGAAATTTGCGACCATGTGGACAGAGCAAGTTGTAATAATTGCGGTTAAAAAAACAACTTCTTCAAAACAACCTTCCGAATTTTTGTGTGCGCTCGTGAGAAATAATTTAATTTTAATATTTCAATTTTTCGTATGTAAGATGTATACAATATATCTAAAAAAGACGTAATATTGCATCGGTATTATATAATGACGTTAAACAAAGAAAAGAGTTTGACACACTCTAGAAAAAATATAGATTTTACATTTTTAATAAGTTTGTACAAAAAAATAATTTTAGTGTAGACGTAAATATATTAATAATACACTTATTATGTAACAAATTGTAACGGATAAAAGGGAAAAATATTGTAGTCAAGAAGATTGATAAATTACAAAAAGTTTTTAAGAAATATCTGAAACTTTTTGATGAAGCCGAGATATGAAAATAAACTGCGTCGATTTTAACCGAAAGGTCATGTCAAATCAACCATTTTGCAAAATTTGCAATATTTATCAAATTATTAATTAATTATAATATGTGAGCGCGTGGGAAGCGATGGCATGGATGAAGCCATGTGAAAAATAGTTTACCTCATGTTATCGTTTAGCAACGAGATGCGGAGTAATATAACAAGCGATGTGTGGCGGCACGGCATTAGCTATTATTGATTTTCTGAAAATCATATAGTTTTATACCACGCTTGCAGGAACCATTGCTTTCCACGCGTTCGTTAGCTCACATTAATTAATTAATAAATTATTAAATATTGCAAATTTTGCAAAATTGTACCGAGACTTTTTGATTCGGATTGACCCAATTTCACACCTCGGTTTTATCCGAAACGTTTCAGACACTTATAAAATTCGTAGACACATTACCTTTGGAGCACGTGCGCTATCGCGTTGTATCTCGATTTTACAAGATTTGAAGAGTTTGGCGAGAGATTTGTAGACACATGCCATGCTCGGTTCTTTTGATAATATCATTGTGTCTACGTGTGACCTGCGGTCGATTATCTGTCGACATGGCGCATAGGCTCGCATAGGCTCGGACACTACATGTGGGAAAAAAGCACGAACAATAGGCCACCGTGACGCGTCAAATTGCGTACTAATTGCCATCTACGTAACACGAGCTGGTGCGGACTAGAAAATAACGAACAAATCGAAACAACAACGCAGCCCTTCCGGGCTCTGACAAACAACGCGCAGGTGACGATTTTCCGATCACATCCTCCCACCCTTTATTCTCCTTCCTCCTTTTTGTTTTGTTTTTTTTTTTTTTTTTTTTTTTCATAATCCATAATTGCTTGCAAGTAAAAAAGCACAGGCGTTGTATACGTATCGCGGCTCGTGCAAAAGCAGGATACATATCTCGTGTTCGCTCGCGAGACGTAAATTCTTTTCTATTTTTTTAATCACGATCTTATTGCTATTCTTTTTTCTCAAACATTATTGTCTGTCTATTGATTCAGATATTGTTTTTTTTTTTTTGCGTTAATTAGTATCTCACGATTATAGTTCGTAGTGCGTTAAATATTGTCTCTGTCTCTACAATGAAAATTCATGATACATTCCGCGCATTTTCGTCTATAATTTTTTTAAAAATTATTATTATTTTCTTTCCTATAAAATCTCAACAATCGATCTTGTTTTAATATTTTATTTCGCAGAGAACGTAATTTGTTTGTTCTACCAATATTCTCTCACAAAGAATTTTCTCAGCCACTTTTATAACTGTGCGCAAATTAAAATATGATAATCACGCGAGTCCACCTTTTGTTTTTTATATAATCGCAACAACCTCTTCCGCCTCGAATTAAAATACAAACAAACCGTGTACGTGTGTTTAATGTCCATAAAAAAAAAAACAAAAAAAAAAAACAAAAGATATCCGAATTTCACGTAACACACACGTTGGGCAAATTGTATAATTCCAAAAATATTTCGCTCTCTTATTGCCCCTCGTTAAATATATTATCATTATGATGTGTGCCGCAAGCAGACTCATTTGCCACATCGATAAGCGTTATTCAGGAGAAGCACAAATGGCATATTTCATTCGTATCATGTTGCGCGTTTAAAATAAAAAAAAAATTTGAAATTCCGGTCGAATGCAATTTCGCAAAGACGGAAAGGCATATCGATGTTGTATAAAATGGAGAATTACATGTCCGTTGTGAATATGTCGCATTACGTGTGTGTCTGATATAAATATAAATGGATATTCCGAAACGCGAAGTCAGCGGGATCTCGCGATGTGCATCGAGGAATGGAAGTAAGTACGCAAGTACGTACATCGAAAACTTCTATATATCTCTAAAGGAAGATATACTGCTAGTGCATTTTGTGGGTTTCAATTGAGATTGCGCGCGTGTGTGTGTGTGTGTGTGTGTGTATAAGAGTAACTCTATTTCATACTTAGCAGCTAAAGGAACATAACCACTCTCTGCGTGTTCTCTCTACGACTGATCTTTCCCGATAACAATATCTATCTTTCATCTAAACCCTAGATTTAACTGCACAAGTTCTTCTTTCTTCACGAGATCGTGTGAAACTTGGAAAAAACTTAGTGTCTGAAATGTGGCAGAACAAAACGAGACTCACCTATTTTCTCTCGAAGTGATAGAACAATGAATTGACCGAAAACGTACACACACACATACACAAACTTCGAGATCATTACCCGAAGTTGTAAAATTATCTTTTTTTTTTTTTATCCCAAACAGAAATAATACGTTAAATATTAAAATATACAATTTTTAAAATTTCTATCATTAAAAAAAATTTCTATCATTACAAAATTTGTTATTCGATAAATTTGGTATTGACAGTTGTCAGTTGTGCGAAACACATTTTTCACCGATTACAAGCTTATTTTATTATTGCAATTGTGATCTCTGCAAAGTCACGAAGAGGTTACTCGCCTCGTTCTGTCACAACAAATTCGTGTGTAACTCGTGTGGTTTTGGTGCACGTGGACGGCCAGCATGCACTACGACTAAAGCTTTCATTCTCACATACAGCGAAACTGGCATGCCTGGTTAAAGAGTGTCTATTTTTAAATAGAGGGAATACGATGGCTATATATGAGATGCGTATATCGTTGGTTGTGTGACGAAAATATAAATAGATATATATATATACAAAAAATATATAAAGATATATATATACAATATATAATATTTGCACGTCGACGATATATATATATATATATAATTACACGACAATCTCGCCTGGTTTTTCTTAGTCAGAAGCGTTATTCTGTTAATGACAGCGTTACCGTGCTCGAGGGTGTGTTGCCGTTAAAAGAGAGGAGAAAGAGAAATATATCGTACAAGAGAAATATCGGCAGCAACATATCGCGCGTGTATATCTGTACGCGAGGTATAATCCGTCATCCTTTCGACGTTGTGTCAGCCGTCAGAAGCGCGATAATTAATGATCGACGGTGTCGATGATCGATAATACCGCAGAGATAATCGGTTAATAGCCGGTGCCCTTCTAACATTTCTCTAATAGAACCTAGATAATTTTGCAACCAGAAGGATGTTTCAGCAAGGAAATTTCCTCGGAGCGAGCCTCGCGATAAATCAGTCGCCACATTGCGTTCTGACGTTATTGCGTTGAAACCTTCGCAATGACATGTTCGCGTCGACGCTGTGAAGCATCTTGCTGCTGATACGGTTCTCTTGCACGGCAAAGGAGATAAACTTAAAGTGGAGAAAACATTTTGAATGGACGACTTAGGCAAATTAGCTTCAAATGGCAAATTACGGTTTTTTCTTTGCATTTTATAATTTCTTTAGTTTGTATTACATAATTTGATAAAAAAAGAAATAGTTTTATAAAATTACTTGCCTAAATCTTGAAGGATAGTTTACAAAATGATAAGATCTGCAATAAATAATTGTACAAAAACAATTGTTACGACAAAAGTATTAATTATTTTTTTGTTGATGATAAAAACTCTAAGTTTTCTTGATGACTTTGAATTTAAACAATTGACAGACAATATAATTTTTGCAAAATTGTTTACTCAATATTATATAAAATCACTATTAAATTAAATTTAACTTACACACACTACTTTTAGTTCTATTTATTATTATAACTCGACAGTTTACGCAAATTTTAATAATTTACTTAAAATCTCGTGTAATTAATCACATCGATTCACGTAGCGAGCATTGCACACGATTTTATTTGACGTCACTTTCCGTATTTCACTTCAGAAAAATTTGGTCGCCCGAGACGCTATGTCGTAAATTTACCGCCGTCGCCGTCGCAACGACAGAAG